GCCCAATGTCCCGTGGGATGCAGCTTTTCCTGGCCCCCTGTCCCCTCTTGGGCTCTGTCTCCAAGCCCTGGTCCCTTGTGTGCAGGGATGTGGGGGACCAGGGCAGGGGGCCCAGCTGGGGGTCCGCTGGCCTGTGGGACCGTATCCCACGTGCCCCCGTTGCCCTGTGCCGCCCAGGATCCTGCGCAGGAACAAGCTCAGGTGGCTCCAGGATGGCACCTTCTCCCAGCTGCGCGGGCTGCTGGAGCTGTGAGTGTGCGGCTGGGCAGGATGGGGGGCTGGCACGGGGCACAGGAACGCGCTCCCGGGCCCTGTGCTCGACCCCAGCTCTGCCACCCCGCAGGGACCTGTCGGCCAACAGCCTGGTCGAGCTGCCACCCTCCGTGTTCCGCGGCCTGGCGGGGCTGCAGCAGCTGTGAGTGTGTGGGGCACCCCCCGGGACCCCCAGCCATGCCCAGACCCCCGTCCTGCACCTGGACCCCTGTCCTGCACCCAGACCCCGATCCTGTGGACTGAGACTCGCATCCTTCACCCAGACCTCCTGTCCTGCACCCAGACCCCTCTCTTGTGCCCAGACCTGAACCCAGAACTCCTGTCCTGTGCCCTGAGACCCCCATTCTGCGCACTGAGACCCCCTGTCCTGCACCCAGGCCCCCTGTCCTGCACCCAGACCCCTGTTCTGTGCACTGAGCCCCTCGTCCTGTGCCCAGACCCCTGCCCCATGCCCTGGGCAGGCCGAGCTCAGCGGCACTGCTCCCGCAGGAACATCTCCTACAACCCCTTGAAGCAGATCCTCCCCGGGCAGTTCGAGGGCCTGGCCCAGCTGCGCTCCCTGTGAGTGTCCCCATGTCCCCAGTGCCGCTGCACGCAGCCCAGCCCTGGTGCCACTTACCCCACGCTGCTGTCGCGCAGGAGCCTCGAGGGGCTGGACATCCCCAACATCGGCAACATGACCCTGCGCAGCCTGGCCAACCTCTCGCACATGTGAGTGCGGGAACCGCTCCGTCCATCCGTCCACGATGCTGCAGTGGCTCCCTGGAAAACCTCCTGGCTCGGAGGGGCTTCTTTGGAGCCACGGGGGTGTCTAACCCCTGCGCAGAGGCTGGAAGGGCCATAGGCACCCGGCGAGGTGCTGGTGCCATAGAGCCACCTGCGCTTCCAGCAGGGCTGGGATGTGGGCGATATGGAAAAGGTGGATGTTTTGGGAGCAAGACGTGCACGGACACTGAGACCTGCCACTAAGTAACCCCTTCCAAGGGCCTTTTGCTTGCAATAGGGACACTTTCTGCTTGATAGTGACCCAAGTGTGTGGAGCAGGTAGCCAGGCAGGACGGGCATCATGGCAGGATGGGAATGTGGCCAGGGAGCCGCCTGCCAGGGCCCGGCGTCTCCTTGGAAAGGGAAAAAAAAAAAATCACTAATTTTCTCCAGATGCACCTTTGGAGTAGCTGTAATGAGAGACGCCTGCACATCTCCTCTCCATAATTGGTCTATTTGGACTATCAATATGGTACATTTTCTACCTGACTTGCTAATAAGCAATCATTTTTCTGCCCTTTTATCTATAATTAGGCAGAAACGAGCCATGCATTGCAGTTCTGTAGTCATTTCCTAATGCAGAGGTTTGCTAAGCGTCTACAGGATTGATTTTATAGGGCTTGAAAAGATTAATGTGAAATAATATACAGGGGAAAACGCAAGTTCCTGGTAATGGAACCTGAAAGATTTGCAAAACGGGGAGGTTTGGCAATGTTTTTGTGGTAGCGACAGGTGAGCGGAAAACTCACTGTGGTGTCTAGCCGGGTGCTGGCTGTGCCACACGTCGCCATGTGGCACCGTGGGAAGGACAGTGGCACTGCAGGCGTCCTCGGGGCGCTGCCGCGTGCAGTGCTCGCCCTGCAGCAGTGCCCGCACCTCCTGCAGCTACTTCCAGCGGTTCCAGTACTGCAGCCACGCGCCCCACGTGCGCAGCTGCAAGCCCAACACCGACGGCATCTCGTCCTTCGAGCACCTCCTGGCCAGCATCGTCCTGCGCGTCTGCGTCTGGGTCATGGCCTGCGTCACCTGCTTCGGGAACCTCCTCGTCATTGGCATGCGCTGCTGCGTGGCCCCCGCCAACAGCCCCCCCC